AAAATTAATTATTTTTGGATTGAAATTGGAGTAAATAAGACACTTCTTAAATTATAAGTTTTAAATTTAAATATTGTAATTTACAGTAATTGTTGTGCAAAGCATAAATAACATTGTTTTTCTAAAGTATTATCATTGTTATTTAATCGGCCTTGGTCATAAAAGGATTGGAAAACAAAATAAAGTAAATCAAGATTGAAGAATGAGAACATGGATATTTCCTCATTTCCTTTTTTAATATACGTGTGTGCATATGTGTGTGTGTGTGTGTGTGTTACAAGGATTTTTAACATTGTTGTAAACTATCTCCTGAAAGTGTTGGCTGATTTGTGCTTTTGAATCTTTAACAGTTTTCTTCTGTTTACTTGGTTTTATATTGTTTCTACTACTATTTGAATTTAACTTGCATTGGCCTCCAACTTAACATTTGAGTTAGTCTCAATTATATTGGCGTCGCATTGATATTTCTTTCTAAAATTCTAGTCAGTCTCAATTGGTGTGGCATTGATATTTCTTTCTAAAATATGATTAATTTAATGTTAAGATGCATTCAAAACTCTGAAATATTTTTTCAGATGCATTCAGTATTTTAGAATATTTTGTGGTGCATTCAGAAAAAAAATAATTTGAGTACCTTAATCTTTAATTTAATTTATCAACATTTTTATTCTATTAATTTCTTTAAAGTGCAACATCAATTTTTGGCCAGAAAAATCATTTTTTAATTGAAAGAGACATTTGTCATTAATTATTGAACGACAAATGCCAAGACATTACACAGCTGATCAAAGAAAATCTTTCATCAACCTTCGAGGTGAAGATGGTTTGTGATCAACAACAAAATTGAAAATGACAAAAAATAATTATTGAAATGTGACATCTTCGGTTATTGTGCTAATCAAAGAAAGCAACAAGCAAGATATCAAATGGTTATAAGTTAATCAGCAGATCACGTGATAATGAACAATAATTGTTACATAATAATAAAGAGAACAACTAAAAATAAAATAAATAAATGCAAAAAAAAAAATTATAAGTCTAGCCTCATATGTGTGCGTGCATGTATGAGATGCCCATTTTCAACCAATGTTTTAAAAGCCGGACCGGAAGTCGAGCCGGAAAGATCAACGGGTCATGGTTCAATCGGTCGGATCGGTCGGACCGTTTGGTCAGACCGGTGATGCAATAATAATTTAAAACAATATTATATACATATAATTAGTATATATGAAAAATATCAAATTATTAAATAATTTAGAAATGCATTTAAATAATCTAAAATATAATGAAATCATTGAAAATGGACTAAAACCTTATATATTTAAATTTATGTATGTTTAAAATATTTAATGATATTACAAATTATCAATTCATTCAAATCAAAATATTTTTTTAAACGATAGACCAAATGTCAAAACAAAAAGACTAGCGACTTACGATTTTAACACCACAATATATGAAATTTTCAATGAAATAATACTCTATGGTTATAAATAGTCTAAAAATATATTAGGATACTTAAGGGGATCAATTTTTTTATTTTTCTTCTATTTTTTTAAATTTTTAGTATTTTTTCAGTCAGGCTAAAAAAACCGTCCGGTTTTCTGAAAACCGTTCCGGTTCCCGGTCCAACTTCGGTTTCCGGCTTAATAACGGCTCAACTCCGGTCCAATCCGGCTCAACTATATGAACGGTTTTTTGGTCCAAACCGAGCCGTTAACGAGTCCGGGTCACGGTTCAACCGGTTCGACCGTCCGGTCCGGTCCGGTTCTTAAAACATTGTTTTCAACCAAATCAAGACGTGTGAATTATATAGATATACTCCTCCGGTTCTTATTATAAGACCCCATTTGACTTTTTATTTGGTCCTAATTATAAGACCTCAATCCATTTTGTCTCTTATATTTATGCGTTTTTTTTCAAGATAATCTTTCTAATAATGATAGTTTTAACCAATATACTTAATTAGCAAGGATATTTTAAGAATGACAACACTTATTTATTATAAATAATCAACTTAACTTACTTCCTTAATCTCCTCAAATAAGTCAATTGGGTCTTATAATTAGGACCGGAGGAGTACTATTTATTTTATAATGAAATTTATTATTAATATTATTGATATTTTATTTTATTTTATTGGCCGAGAATGCTTTAAAATCTACTTATTCTAATTTGATTGGACCAGTATATCCTATAAGACTAGGTACCCAAATTTTGTCCATAAAATACACATGCCTTTGTTCCTCTTACAAGGGAGCATGAATTAGACATAAAATTGACTTGTGGGGCTAGTTTTGTTGCTTTGTTTTGTTACCATCACCATCATGATTTTAATCTTTTGGGCCAATCGTTTTAACTTTCCAAACCCTAGTGACCCAACTTCCCTAAGTGATGTGGCTCAACTTGTGCATTATTAATACCATTAGATAGTGTCCAATAATAAATGTATTCGCAATCTCATATATGCCTATATATATATGTGTGTATATATATATATATAGTTATTCAAGAATTAGGATCATTTTAAAATATAAAAAATTTTACAAAAATAAAATAATAGACTTGTTTAATAAATAAAAGAATAGGCAAATTCATTTTATTTTTATATAATATTACTCCAATTCTTAATATAAAAGTTAGTTATAGATTCATTGTTGTACTAAATATAAAATCTCAATATATTTTTTTAATAACAGATCCCAATATACTTTGTTTTCAATATTTATCTATTTTGCCTCCCAAATAATCCTTATGGTGACTAAACTTGTTAAGAGATTTTTATCAACGGTAGGAAAAGCAACACATATTCATTGTAAATAACTAATTTTATTAATATTCATAAATTGGTTATTTATATCTTATATTAAGCACCAGAGGTAGTATGTTAGCTATTTTTTCAATTATTAAGTTGAAAAAAAGGCTAAACATATTTTTTTTTCAATGGAGAAGTAGACACAATATTGCATTCCTATATTTGTCTTAAATGATTTAATAATAATAATAATATATATATTTATTTCTATAATGATGCATAAAGGATTTAGAATGAGAAGTGTGTATTGTTTGGGTGGGAGGCAGAATGGGGGGTACTAAAGGCATGGTTGACACTAAACAATAAGGAACATTTGAACATAATATGGTCACCTTTGTCTTAGAAAAGAGCCAAAAACTATTCTTGCAATTTCTGAATCCCCCATCTCTATCTCTTTATGCTTCCCACTACTTGCCTTGTCTTTGGTGTCTGCACATTTCCCTGTACTGTTCTTCTGAATGCAATTATTTTTTATATTTTATTGTGAAATATTGTTGTTATGTATATGTTGGAGATATCATAAAAGTGCATTTTCCCTTTTTAAAGCTGCACAAGTAGATGTTCCCTACTATCACTTTATGTTATCATCTCATTCACCCTTAACTTATTCCTGTGCCCTTTCTGACCCAAAAAAAAAAAACTTATTTCTGTGCCTATATATATATATATATATATCACTCGTATTAGAGTCTAGCATCATTAGCAAGTATATTTTAGGTAGAAATTTCACAATATTATAAGTTTTCCTGTCATCCATATGAGACTCCCAACTTAAAATTGGCTATATGCCTATTCCATTCAAACCCAATTTGAATAGATGCTTATTTCCTCCCTCTCGAGGGGTAAAGTCATTTGCTCAAGTTTCTTCATCAATTTGGTGATGAAGCTTTAATTTTGTGGCAGTTACTTAAGAGTGGTCATTTGTGTGAAGCCATCTTATTTACCATTTCCTCGTGTCCTTATAAAGTCTAATTGACTAATTTGAAGAGACTAATAATGTTACTAAATTACTTTAATGTGTTTGTATTTATTATTTTTCGCCAAATTAAGTTACCTCACTTATAAATTGATATATAATTTAGTGATATACATAAATATTTTAGAAAGATCATATAATATATGATATAATTAAGCAATTTAATAATTTTTTAAGTCCTTCCAAATTAGTCAATTGCATCTTATATCAAAGATTAGAAATAGTATTTTGTATTTTTGTTGTTTTTTTCATGCTCAACTAACATTTTATCAATATATTTGATTATTTTATTAAAAAAAAGGGAAGTTGTTAATGTCCTAGACCAGACCAATGCCAAGTTTACTAGTCTATATACACTGTTGAATACATGATAAGGCAATAACCCAACAGGGCAGCATTCTATGCTTGCCACTTACTAAAATCAGACATGTGAAATGGCTTCTGTTATTTTATGAGCTGATTTTGGGCTTGCCTTCACATTACTCTTTGTTCATGAGCAAGACCAAGCCCAAAATATTGCATGTCCTGAGCTTGATCTTTCACTCTAATCTTCCATTCGCGTAATCAAGTATAAATAATACGCATAGGCAAAAAAAAAAAAAAAGTAAATAAATAATACTCCATCCAATTCTTGCAGCCCAAAAAAAAGGGGGGGTTAACACAGTCCCTAAAATTTGATCTCATGATTAAAATTTGATTTTATATTAATTTTGATCCATAGATTTAAAATGTAACCAGTTTTGGTTACAAAAAATTTTAAGCCGAACCAAATCCAATTTTAATAATCATTACTTAAATGAAATCAAATTTTAAGCGGCTTAAACAAATTTTAAGGTCTTCAACACTCCAAGTAGAGATGATCACAAATATGCAAATGCTAGTTACTTTAAAGCTTGTTTTGATCAAGATCTTAGAGACAACCATGTTTTCTATCATTGTAAACCTCTAAAGGGAAACAAGGTGCTAATACTGAAGGTGATTTGATAAAATTCGAGATCGACGATTTGGTACTAGACAACCGTAGAAGCAGTCTTGGTGGAGTCATCAGAGGCGGTGACAACCATTGGATATGTGGGTATAGCTGAAAGTTGATCAATATTCCCGCCACCATAACTGAAGTTATGGGAGTTTTTCCTTACTTTGTGTTGAAACAAGGGCTCTTGGACAATAGCTCTCTGCTCTGAATGCTGCTATTAACTTGACAACAGGTTTGTATCCTTGATCACCTCCTCCTACTTATCCAATAGGCCGTGAACGATGATGAAGGAAGTTCCTCAGGTAGTTTTTGCTTTGATTTTGGTTTCTTGCTTGTAATGTTTTGGTTTTAAGGTAATCGTGTCCAGTTTTTATTGAAACACTCAAATTCCTCGTTAAATAAGATCTGATATGGGTTTCATTTGGTTGCTGCTCAAGTGAAACCTAATTCAAGTAATGCATGTCATACCTGGGAACCCAGTGCTATCAAAAAAATATCTCCAGAATGTGGGCAAAAACAAAAATCTCTACGAAAAAAAAATTGCATCCTCGAAGCAAAAATTGATTGATTATAGCAGGGGAAAAAGAGATTAACTAACTAACAAATTTATTCTTCAAAACTTGCCTTTTTCTCACTTCTGTTCTTCTTCAATCCCAAAACATTTTTTATCTTCCCAATCAACTTCTTGAAAACTCCTTCCCTCTTTCGCTTGTCCAAAATTATCGGCGGGTTCCGTATCACACACAAATGTTGGTTGGCGAGCGGCACAGTAGCCCCTATCCGTCGGAACTCTGCAACGAGCTGAGGATACACATATTCCATATCCAGCTGAAACTGCCTCCGGATTTCAAACCTCGGCGGAGCCGACTCGTCACAGCCGTAAAGCCCGGCCGCCACGCGCCCGTTCACGTACGCCTCACACGCCGCCAGAATCGCATTTGCTCGCTCGCGAAAATGGTGGTTAATCAAGGGTTCGAAGTTCCTCGGAGGATTCCGAATCAAGTTGAGAGTGGTAGTACAGGTGACAAAGAACGCTTCCTGATTGTAATACTCCGACGATTTTTCAGTCCCAAAGTATTTTCTTCCAGGCTCGTTGAAGTAGGGTTTTTCGTTGAGGACGAGACTTTGGAGAGATAGCAGCACCTGCAATAATGTCGACTGTTTCGGGTTCCACCGCTCACTCCGGCGGCCCATCCATGTGTTGAGGAGGCTCAGGCAGACGCTGCCGTCGCTGTAGAGATTCGGGTTAATCCGGTGACCGTATGAGCGGTAATGAACCTTGGGAGGTTCTTCAGGGTAAGTGGCCATGACGGCGATGTCGAAGACAAACACACCGTCATGGTAGGGTGTGCCGGCGGCACCGACGATGGCGGCACGGAGTAAATCGAAGCGGGTCTCGGAGACCCGAACGAAAATGGATTCGGGTAGATTCTCCTGGAGGATCCGCCACTCCTTACTGATCACCTTGAAGCAGGAATTCCCCGCTTTCAGCTTCGACGGAGCCGAATTATGATATAGATAGTGATGATCTGAGAAATCCGAAACGACGTCGAATTGGGGGAAGGTGTGCTTCTTGTGATCCTGCGTCATGGTTCTGGGAAAGTACAGGAAAAAACAGTAAAAGCCTAAGGGCTAAGTAAGAAGTTTAGAGATAAGAAAAAGAAAATGTGAATTGTTGTGTGGGGGACGCTGTAAGCTGTAGAACACTCCGGAACAAGTCTAATTCTGTTGAGAGAAAATATCTAATCCAATTTGGTTTCATTTTTAAAAAATGTAGAGCTCTAACTAATAATAATAATAATAATTTCCAAAAAATTTGATTGTAGACGATAATTTTTTTCCAAAAAAATAAAAGAGGACTTAAGTAATCAGTTATGTTTATCTTTTGTTTAATTGCTTTCTTAATTATTTTTTGATTGGATGAATATATCATCATGAATAATATCTCAAAATTTATGGTTGGTTTATTATGGTAACCTTAATGCTAGTGTTTTATAATCATATCGAAAATCCTTATCTAACATGACAATATTTATGAATATATTATATTTTCAGTTCAGAAGAAAATGACATATGATAAATATTTATTATTCAAGTAGTGTTTTAGATTCTTTAATTTTCTGTCGAAAATTGTGCTGAGCTCTCTTAACTGATCAAGTCAAGTGACTATACTTCGAATGAGAGGGAATGATACCGTTTCTTCTTACACGTGATAATATAGAGATGAGTATTTGATTTTTTAGTTCGGTTCTTAGTGATAATTGAATAACTGAATGGAACAAATTTTAAACACCAAATAAAAATTGATTAACCAAAATAACTGAAACCGAATTAACTAAAATATTTCAGCTAGGTTAACTGATTAACCGAAATATATAAATATGAAAAGCGATTTTATATTAAAAATAATAATAAAACACAATTACAACTATTAATTGATAATTTTTCATTATTCAATGTGATTTATTATAATAATATTTATTAAATATAAATATAAATATATAATATATTTATTTTGATTTGTTGGTTATAATAGAAATTTTTTTCTACTGACTGAACCAAATACTGAAACTGAAGTATTAAAAAAAAGTAAAAACTAAATATGTAACTAAAAAACAAAATAATCGAATTGAAAAACCGAAATTCAATCTGGTTCGATCTGGTTTTCGGTTAAAGTTTAGTTTTGCTCATCGAGATGAGCTAGATATGATTAAAATTTATGTATTCATTATTTTTAATTGAAAAGGTTGAAAGCAAAATAATAAAAAATTGGCAGCATAACCTGTATTTAATTTGTTTTTTTTTTGGAATTAAAGCGGCGAAATAATTAACATCAATTAGAACATCATCATTCTCCATTGTTCCCAAAAAACAGTACATCATTATTCTCCATGAAATCTTTGATTCCTGTTCAAAATAATTACGGCAGTATTTGATAACTTTAAAAAATAAAATTTAAAATTTTCATTTTGAATTCACACTAATATAATTGAGTCCATTTCAACCAAACAGGGGACATATAAAACAAAGAATTATAATCAAGTGCCACAAAAGAGAAATAATGACTAAAAGGTAATTATAATCTAAGCAGCTTGTAATGACAAATCTTATAATGAAGGATGACAGCCTCTGAGATTTGTTTTGTAACTTTTTTTCCTTCCATGACCCTTGATTGTAAGTCTTCCCTTATAAAATTGAAGGATTTTAATTGAAAACCAAACTAACTTAACTTGAATTAACTGAGATTTTTACTTGCAACTGTTTGAATCAATATTTGACTATCTGTAAAACATTTTTTGTTTTACTTCTTCAGGACCTAACTTTTAAGATTTAAATGTCATTTTTTCCTTATTTATTTGCATTTTAGGAAAATTTTGGTCAAAGACCCTGAGGCACTCCTAATCACTTAGATTCAAATACTATAAGTCATGACCTTGTAGTTAGGTTATGAACCCAGTTCTTGGACTAACTTTTATTAGGAACACTGATCATATATTATTCTCCTATATTCGGCAAAACAATTTGAATTTTTGGCATCAATTTTAATTGCACACTGACAAAGCCCAATTTTTATACAATTTATCCTACATTAATTTAAGATTTAAATGATAATTTTGAGTTTAAATGGATTTTTATGCATTATTAGAGTAATTGGTTGATTTTTGGATTTTTCATAAAAATTGAGATTTTAGATTAAAAATATAAATATTTTGTGATTTTTTATTTTTGACTTGGAATTAATTTTTTCTATTTCTTTGGAAACAAGTCTCATATTTGTAGAAAGATTATTTTTAGAAAGTTTTGCAATTTCTTGCCTAAATTTTGTGCATATTTAGTATTTAATTTTTTATTATATTTGGATATAATCTACATTAATAGATGTACTTAAATTCTTGTAGGTCAAGAAAAAACATATAGAAAATCTAATGGTGCAAGATTGTTTCTTGGGATTTAAGCATAATCCAATAGTTAATATCAAGTGGGCCAATTAATTAGTAATGGACTTGAGCTTTGGATCCATAAAATTTTTTTTTCTCCCATTAAAATATTCCCTTCGTTTCATATAGTAAATTCACGCCTAAGATCACTTTCTCCTTCTCCATTCAGACACGCACGGACAAAATTCAACGTCAAATCTCCCCTTCACCGCTATCCTTCTAGTCTCATGCCCTCTCATAATTCTTTCATTCCATTTCATGGTCACACCGCAGCATCCATTTTTATCAATTGCTCCACACGTGCTTCACCCGTAACTTGAATCATCCACCCTGCGTCACATGTCCGTGAATTGCACCAAAGAGCTTGGAGAAGGAGATACGTTAATGGCAGCTTAAGTTTATTAGGGAGACAACTTGGGAGGAGCATCGATGAGGCTTGAGCCTTGGGCTAGCACTTGAAGACTACAAAGGAGTGATGTTCCATTTATCTTTTTAATTTAAGGACTTGAAATTATTTAGTTTTAAATAATTTTAAGTTATATTTTTGTCGAGACAATTTAGTTCTAGATTGTCATTTTTATTCTTGGGTTGGATTGATATTTGGATCTTATTTGTGCGGAGATACTTGTTGGAATTGATGTTTAGAACCTTTGCATTGTTAATTGAATTTATAATTGAGTTTTCATTATAAGTTTAATTATCAATGTGGTTTGAATTGTAAAATTTGGGTTCTTTTGCCTCTTAATTGTTTAATTAAGTTGGTTAATTAAACATAATTTCATTGGTTTTTGGATAATTTTCTCTTATTTGGATCTTAATTGGTTCATTTTCTCTTAATTGTCTAATTGTTTAATTGGATAATTTCGAACATAATTTTCAGAATTAATTTGAGTTATTTTCATTGGTTTTAATAAGTTTAATTAACCAACTTTATATTGTTATGAGTTCTCTAATAGTTTAAGGGTTTTTGGAATTGAAGGTTCCCTTTGTTTCAAATAGGTGGTTAATTTTATTAATTTCACTCTCTTATCACTTCCCTTTGGTCTAACTAATTGATTAAGGTTATGAAGGTTAAATCCATACAAATCCTAAGTTGTTCCCTCTACTTTACCGAAGAGAACTTCTCAATTTTCACTTTTTAATTTTTTTTTGCTCTTTAGTCAATTTTCTTCATTTATCATTTTAATTTTTTTCCAAAAAAATCCCTCCAAAAATTGCATCACATTCATTTAAGTTTAATTTAATTTTCATATAGATTTTAAGACATTTGCATCTTGCATTTAGAATTAGAATTTTGCATTTTAGTTTAGGTCCAATTTATTGCATTTTTTTTATCACCTAAATTTTTACCTAAAAAAACCCATAATTTGTTCCTTGGAAGTAATGACCTAGGTCAATTCTAAACTACAAATTAATTAGGACCTAGTTTAATTGAGTGCTTTAACTACAAAAAGCATCATCATACACTCAAGAATTTTCCTCATGAAATTTTCTTATTGGGTTTTATATATAGAGTTCGTGATAAAATTCCTCATGAAAGTTACAGAGATGGTCTTGATGAGCAAGAATATTTATATATATATATATATATATATATATATATAGTGAGAACTGAGGTGGTGTCTCCATTTTCTGATAAAGTGAGACAGAAAAATACATTGCTTTATAACTTATGGACACTAGATATTTTGTTTGCTGGATAGAAATTACCTAAAAATTTTCCGTGAATTTAGATGTAAACATGTACCAAAATATTGCTTAATTGGATGTTATATATTTCCCTCCTATATTTAATCTTTGATTCTTTTACCCGAAATTAAAATAGAAAATTGAAACTTAAGAAAAGAGATTTATTACATGCTAGCCGCAAAATCAACCTGTGGATGCCCTTAATTATAGACACAGTACCAAACACCTAACAAAAATCCCTTCTTTCAATTCAACAACACTCATTAATTACCCTATTTTATTTAATTAATATCTAAATAAAAGCCTTCGCACTTAATTAAGCAAACCTCCCATTTTCTCCTCCTTCTATAACTTGGCGCCTCTCACAAACCAAAAAACTTCAATATTTCGATTTCCCCTTCCGGAGAAAACTAAAAACAATGTCTTCCTCTTCTTCTTCTCCTCCTTCATTGTTCATAATAAAGCCAGTTCTATGTTCTATTGTGTTGTTCTTAGCAACATGCCCTAGTTATGTTCTTGGTACCATCGAGCTACAAGATTTAGTCATCGATTCTCCTTTATTAACCAAAAACATTCCCGCGAATCGAACCATTAAGGTCGATGATGAAGGCGATGGAGAATTCAGATCCATTCAAGCTGCCATAGATTCTATTCCTGAAGGAAATTCTCAGTGGGTCATCGTCCATGTCAGGAAAGGAGTATACAGGTATATATACATACTTACAAAATGTGACATCTTTTTAGGGTTAATCATACAATTTATTAGGGTTTTCTAAAGTTGCAGTAATGTGCCGAGAAACCGAGAAACATGTTTAGTTACGAACAATGGTCATCGTCTCCATATTAGGAAAGGAGCACATATAACATCATTTTAGGGTTAATTAATAAACAATTGATTATTTGGCTTTGAAACTGCATTATTATTCTTTAAAGTCCACGCATGTAATGATTGGAGAAACATGTTTAGTTTTGATGATTTTGATGATTGTGATAATGCACGTACAGAGAGAAGGTGACGATACCAAAGAACAAGCCGTACATATTCTTGAGAGGAAATGGGAGAGGCAAAACTGCTATAGTTTGGTCTCAGAGTTCTGTTGATAATATAGAATCTGCAACTTTCAAAGTCGAAGCTCATAACGTCATTGTCTTTGGAGTCAGCATCAAGGTATGTACAATTCTTCTTCTTCTTCAATGATCTGTGATTGATTATATATATATATAATGAATGGATATTTTGCAGAACGAGGCGCCTACTGGGGTTGCTTACACGTCGCAGAACCAATCAGTGGCAGCATTTGTAGGAGCTGATAAAGTAGGGTTCTATCATTGTGCGTTCTATAGCACTCACAACACTTTGTTTGATTACAAAGGCAGACATTACTATGATGAATGCTACATCCAAGGCTCTATTGATTTCATCTTTGGCCGCGGCAGATCCCTCTTCCATGTAAGTACATCATCAATCGCTACATCAGTATCCATTTTATAATTCAATTTTTTTGTTAAAATAGTGGATCTTATATTAAGGACCAGAGACAGTATCTATGTATCTCTCTTCAAAATTGGATACCGATTAACAATAATGATTAATGGGAATGATGCAGAAATGTGAGATATTTGTGATAGATGACAAGAGGACGGTGATAAAAGGGTCGATCACCGCACAAAACAGAGAGTCAGAATCAGAGGAAAGTGGGTTTGTGTTTGTGAAAGGAAAGGTATATGGCATAGGAGGGGTGTACTTGGGAAGAGCCAAGGGTCCTCATTCAAGGGTCATTTTTGCTAAAGCCTATCTCTCTGCCACCATTGCTCCTGAGGGGTGGGCCCACTGGAGTTACGCTGGCTCCACTCAGTATGTCCCTTTAATTTCTCATTCCCCTCCTATTATTCTATCAGATTTTTATAGCTAATTTCACTGCAGTTTTATTAGACCTCCGCAATTTTTTTATTCATTTTATCAGTTACTTGAAATTATAGGAAGTTGATTAAAAATCATGCGAAACAATAAGGACCGATTTTAAGAAAAATACTATATGGACCTTATTACATGCAACATGTGAAGCTATAAGGACCTGATAAAAAAAAAATTACTGGAACTTGATTGAAAAATCAACCAATAAAATTATAGGGACTTGCAGATAAATTTTTCCACATAATTTATAACCTATCGTTCACATAATCATAACTACAACTAGATATTTTTTTCCCGGAGAGATGACAATTTAGAAAGTTTTTCAGATATTTGTATTCATCTTTCTAATATTAAAAATACTACAACAACAACAACAAACCTTATCCCACTAAGTTAGGTCGGCTACATAAATCATACGACGCCATCGTGTTCTGTCAACAACCCAATTCTTAGATATGTTGTTGACCAGGAGATCTCGTTTAATGACCTCATTAAGCGTTCTTTTCGGTCTTCTTCTGCTCCTTTTTATGGGACTCCATATTGTCTGATATACTCTCCTCACTGGAGCCTCCAATGGCCTCTCTGCACATGTCCAAACCATCTTAAATGATTTTCAATTATTTTCTCTTGGATAGGTGCCACACGACAAATATTAAAAATATTATTTGAAAAAAATAAAAAACAAAGTTGCACACTTTATCACCAAAAAAAATAAAGAAGAAGGAAGAGTTGTCCTGAACCAATGAAATATAAGGAGAAAGATATATTAAAAAAGTCATATATATTCTACTAATTAAGGAAACCTATTAAGTTGATGATTTGACGGATAACAAATTCACATGTTACTATCACATGTAAGGACGTCAAAAAGTAGGGTCAAAATCGACGACAAGCCACAATCACAGACTTAGAAACTCTCCAGAGAGGGACCAAAAAAGTATCAACACTCTGATATTGACAAAAGACTATTATTACTATTACTCAAAGCATGACTGATATCATTATATTTTGTGGTAAATATTAATATATTATTGAAATTAATTATTGCAGGAACTTATTCCATGGCGAGTACAAGAACTTTGGACCTGGAGCTAATACTACAAAACGAGTTAGCTGGGCCAAACAGCTTACTGAAAAAGAAGTTGAACCCTTCATATCTGTTGATTTCATTGATGGCAAGGAGTGGCTTCCTGCTCACCTATAAACCATATACATGTGTGTGTGTGGGTGTATATATACATGATCGCATGAATATATATATATCGATCTAGTTGAGAAAGCTGGCAACTAATGTAATTTGTCGTTTGAAGACTCCGATGTACGTACGTGTCTGCAAGGAGGTTTCAATTCCTTAATGATGATCTGTTTTAATTTAAACTATTCGAAGCTATGTAATTAGATAACTCTCCTAATAACTCCTCCTATAATTTATATAAAGGAACTGTTTTTGCGCTTATGTTCTAGCTTGTGTTATCCCAATTGATCTTAGATTCAGAAGGGGGTTAATATAATTGTGCCTCTTGATTATTCTTGGGCTGTTAGGTTTTCTCATATGTAAACCAGAAACTTGCCTTTTGTGTGTGTGTGTGTGTGTGTGTATCATTGATTCTTTCATATGTTGATGACTAGTTGTGTTATAATGTGATTTGTTCAAAATTGTCAAGTTTAATATTGGTTGTTGATGATCGATCTCGGTTTCTAAGATGATATTTTTTAGTTACTTACTGCTATTTAGAAATAATAATTTTTGTTACATTTTATATATTAACAATTTTTGTGGCAATTTTACTTTGATTTAGGATTAACTTGCATTAATTCTCACTGTGCTTGTAAGAATCAAAATCAAATTACGCTATTTTTGGTGATTTAAATTATTAGATTAATAGATGAATAGCAAATATAAGACTTTAGCATATGGCAAAAACTCAGACTTATTTCATTGATATATGATGCGTACTTGCATCTACAAGTACCTAAGAAGCTAGCATATTGCATGGATAAGACTTGGACGTATTAGAGATTATAAGATTATAACTAAGTATTTGTAAAACTAGAAGCCACCACCGACTCCTCCGCCACCACCGGCACCACCTCCGAAGCCTCCACCAGCTCCACCTCCTGCACCGCCGCCACCACCAAGTCCTCCTCCTCCACCTTTGCCTCCTCCAAAGCCTCCACCTGCACCACCACCTCCACCAGCTCCTCCTCCAAGGCCACCTCCTGCACCGCCGCCACCACCAACTCCTCCTCCTACACCGCCACCATGTCCACCTCCAATGCCACCACCTGCTCCACCACCTCCACCAACTCCTCCTCCCACACCACCACCATGACCACCTCCGATTCCTCCGCCTGCACCACCACCTGCTCCACCTCCCACACCACCGCCATGACCACCTCCTATCCCACCACCTTTACCACCTCCAAAGCCTCCACCTGCGCCACCTCCAGCTCCACCACCTCCGCCAATTCCACCACCACGACCACCTCCTATCCCTCCGCCTGCACCACCACCATGTCCACCTCCAATGCCTCCACCTGCACCACCTCCAGCTCCACCGCCTCCGCCAATTCCACCACCATGACCACCTCCTATCCCTCCACCTGCACCACCTCCAGCTCCACCGCCTCCGCCAATTCCACCACCATGACCACCTCCTATCCCTCCGCCTGCACCACCACCAGCACCACCACCTCCACCAATACCACCACCATGTCCACCTCCAACGCCTCCTCCTACTCCACCACCATGTCCTATACCTCCTCCTATGCCACCTCCTTTACCTCCTCCAAAGCCACCGCCATCACCTCCACCGATTCCTCCTCCTGCTCCGCCGCCACCACCAGCACCACCTCCGAACCCACCACCCAAACCATCACCTTCTCCAAAGTTCTCCACTGACTTTTCATTTGTTAATCTTGAGCGGCATTCTGCTATTCCTATAACAAATGCCAACACCAAAGCAAGCACCCCAACATATTTATGGAATCTCCCCATTTTCACTCAAACACAGAAATATTCAAACACAATGCCTTGCTTCACTTGTAGTGAGCAACATGCAATATGAAGTATTTATAGAGCCAAGGAAGATGATATTGCACTTAATAATCGTAGTTGGGATCTCCTTTTCACTCTGACAAACAAGGACTTTAATGGTATTTTCATCCAAACACTTGGCAACAAAAATCAAACTTGTTCAGAAGATACTTTTATTGGCCGGTGAATTCATAATTGCTTTGTCTCAACTCTCAACCACCGTAAGTACTACACTTAAGTAGCAGTACTAATATATTAACCACAAACTAGCTAGTATATAGGCAAATGTATTGCATGAATTCTATAAAAAAAAATCCCATATTATATGTAATTTATGAATAATGTGACATAATATGTAGAGTTTATATCATACATTGATATCATTGCTGTCTCTAATTTCTTGTATCGATATATTGATATCGTATAAAATTTATGGTAATCCTTGATATATGATCTTTAATATCATAGTCATGAACAACATGTCTTATTTTTAAATTCCGTTAGGAAGAGATTTTTGTTTGTTTTGTCTGATTAATTTATATTGTTATATCCTGAATTTAAGAGCTAATAAAAAAGTTTGTTTTAGTTTGATCTCAATTCATTTTATCTATCATATTTATATTAATATTTTCTTAAAATGCTTGTCCTTATTGACTACATGTATTAAGGGATAGTTTTTCATCAAGTGAGTTAATCCAAATGCAAATGATTAAAAAGAGGCACAGTAAACAAATTAACACATTTTTTACAAATAATTATTATTTTATCCAATTTTTTTCTCTAAATTAGTTATCTATGTCTAATATTTAAGATCGGAGAGAGTGCGTAGCTAGAGCATAGAGTTGTTTTCCAATTGGCACCATCAATAATTAATGCTTTGAATTTTGAGCATAAGATCTTAAGATTTGAGGAAAATCTTGACGCAACCTTGATCATTTAATTCTTTCTACCAACTTAGTTATTTTGTTGAAGAACAGATCATGATGAGCACATTTTCATGTCGATGATGATATTAATACTTTTGCCGTGTTGACTCCTTTTTGCGCTTTTAACAATCTGGAATATCAGTTTTTTCCCCCAATTCTTTTTTTCTGAAATGAGTTTTCCATATGATGACCAAAAAAATAAATATTATTTGTCCTAAAAGTACATTTATTAAAAAGATAAAAATATTTATTTAGAAAAATTGATCAGAATACTAGTTTTTTAAAATATGAAAATAAAAAGGACGTTTGAGTAATTTAGCTTGTTTGATGTTCTAAATAACGACGTACCTTTTGTATAACATTCACGTTAACTTAAAAAAATTAATATAATAGTAAGTAAATGGATATATATAGTTCAAAAAAAAAATACTATATACTCCTCTAGTCCTATTTATAGGACAGAGAATAAAGATATTTTTTGGTACTATTTATAGGGTACCAAGAAATTTTTTTTGTATGGATGTATAATGTTACCTTTTATTTATTATTGTGTTAACTTTATTTACATGAAATATAATATATATTAAATAGGGACAAATTTGAAAAGTTGTTGAATTTTAAATGAGAATTAATAAAATTTAAGGTTTTTTTTTTGTCTGTATGAAATATGTTAAAAGTGAGTTATAATTAGGATGGAGGAGTATACCCTAACTAATCTTCAAAAGGATTTTGAGTCAAATAGTTAATGCAGATGGGGTTGTTTTAAGCTTTTAATTGCGTTATAAAGTTGTCCAACTCAAGTACTGAAATTGCCAAAAAATCTAATAAGTGCGAAATTCACCGATAAATGAGGTCTATATATTTGGCATTTAACCATTTCGTAACATACTAGTCTTGTCCCACCGCCACCATGTTGGATCATTTATTACAGGCTAAACTAATCTAAGCCACATATATCTGGTAAATAGTCTGAGCTTACTTTATCCCACGAAACTTCATTTGATATCGTTTCTTCTAATCTTAGAAACTTCTCATTATTATTATTAGGCACATAGCCTCCATTGCAGCTTTGAGGTTTAATTCCTTCGCGTATGTGTGATACTAATACGAATGTATTTATGTGTGTGTGTGTGTGTGTTTATAACTCTTTTAGTTTGATTATTTTATGAATGAAAAAAAGTAATGTTAGGTTTAACCGACACAACGTTTTTGTTTAGGGATCAAAATCAAAAGTATCATTTGGCGGCAGGCTAATATCTCTTGAGATACGGAGGGTTAAAGGCAGAGTAGTCCTCCCAATTAAGTTTTTCTAGAATTTTCTCTTTATTATTATTAGCACACACTAGCTTCGGTGCTCAATATAAGAGCTAATTAGGATTAGATTTAGTTCTAAATATATATAAGATCTCAATCTATTCTGTCTTTTAAACTTATAACTTTTTTTAAAAAACTATTCTTATTGATTATAAGGAATTTATACTAGTGCTTATTCCGATGCACATGATTGAAGATATTGTTTAGGAAAGTCAATAAATATTTATTACAAATAACTAATTTAACTAATTTTCTTAACCTCCTTAAATTAGTTATCTAGCATTCTAATTCTTATATTAAGAATAGGAGATAGTAGGAAGTATTATTCAAAGTCAACAATCCACCTACGTAATAAATTAAAGCTCTTAAATTCAGGACTTCCATATTTAAATATGTAATTATATGTGTTTTTTTTTGTTTATTGGTTTGAATTTAAAGAAATAAATTATATTTATTTACGACTTGTAAATTGTGCAAATATACAAATATATTGATCATATGTTGATTCAATTAAAGTTAAATAATTGGTATATTGATTGACATTATATAATGAAGTTAAATTTTCAAAATGTTGATTAATAAAAATGCACAACACCAATTACATGTACTCCTCTAATTATATTTTCTAAGGAAGAGACAAAAGTTTTTCTTATCTTATTTATAAGTCATCTTATTAAATTTTTAATATGAATGTACTATTTTTTTCTTCTTTTATTATTGTGTAGATTATTTTATTATTCTTGAAAAGTGTATACATTAAATAGTGATAGTGCTGGCAAAAAAAAAAAAAAATTAGGGATAAGGGTGGAAAAATTATTAAATTTAAATGTAAAGTTAACGAAGTTGAAAATTTTCTTAGATTTGATAAATTAGGTTGAAAGTAACTTAAAAATAGCACCAGATAAATATTTAAGTTGTGCTAAACGT